TGTCCTGTCCAACTATGTTTTGGACAGTCACTAGACTTTGCAGTGTATTCTGTAAAGCGCTTTGAGACATCTAGTGGATGTGATAAGGTGCTATATCAAATGTAAGTATTATTATTTATTATATAATTCTTTATTATTATTTATTAATAATTATTTATTATTATATAACTAGGATTTGGGCTCAAACACACAAGGCCTATGAGGCACTTGGAGGTCAACCATGAACAGCACTGCTCTGGGCAGTGTATTCCCATCAATTTGGGTTATGAAGCAAAATTATATCATCTTGTCAGTATGTGTTTTGGATCTGTCAGCATTGGCTGAACGACTGCATTGTTTTTGCACATTAAATAGATGTGGGTATAATTAACAGCATCTGAGAGAGAAAGTTAGGTTAAAGTTTCCTTAAAGTGCCCTTTCATCAGTCCCAGGTCATTGGACTATTACTGCTACTAGTGTGCATGACCAGCATTGAGCCTTGGTGACATCCACGCTAACCAACCACATGCAGTGTCCCAGGTGCCCTGAGCCTCAAGGAACGATCAGCCCTATATTGTCTGCCACACAAGGTGTGTCTCAGACGCCCATGAAGCCGCCTCCAGATTTGGTCTGGCCTCGAGCTGTGGAACGTCTGATCAGCAAGTCCAACAACCCAGTACACAGACAAACGTTGGTACACCTGCCAGACATGTCCGAAGAATGAGTGATGCCTCCGCTATGTCACTGCACACATTGGGTAAACCAGTCTGAGCCAACGCTATGTCGTTCCCAACATGATTGAAACCAGCGTATTCTGAGAATTCTCCACTGGCACCACATGTGAAATGCTTGAAGAACGTCCGAATCTCTCTTCAGCAGTGTCCACATCTCCAAACTGTATATAAGCACCGACATCACACAGCTCTGTAAATACACAAGCTTTATAGCCAGGGATAGGCATCACTTCCTCCAGACTTAGACAAGTTAAAATCTCCCAAAAAGATATAATTCTGAACCTTTTCCCTAAAACTCAAGATTATCAAGCAAAACACCATGTTAGTCTGCCATCCCAATCTGTATTCAAACGTGACCAGATGTACTCCAAAGGTAATCCAATATTCTAAGAAAAAATCAAATCCATCCCAATGCTTGTTAATTTTGTGCTCATCATCTCTAGTTCTGTGATCAGAGTTCAAGATAAATAATCTAAATTATTCACACTTCTCATTATTTTAAAAGACAAGATTATCCCCATCTCAATGTCCCTTTCTTCATCAAAAATCAGTTCTAATCTGCGAGTGTGTTTGTTTGTCCCTGAATCATTCTGGGCATTAAAACGATGATTCTATGTAATATTAATTACTGTGAAACCCTTTTGAGACATTGCATGAATATGTTCTTTATTTCTTCTCTGAAACCTTCCATTTTCCTTTGATGAGCAGAGGTTTCTCAAAAAAATGAGATATTCTAAATATAAGCCTCATACTCAGGGTTAAAATGATCATTTTTGATTTGCCTTGTTAGTAAGAACTTTACAATTGCTAATAGCTTTGCTCATGCTCCTGGCACATGGGCCTGCCTGGAGCTCTGTTTTCTCCACAATCATCAATCCAGCTCTGTATTTGGCAGATACAAGTTGTGCTCATTACCAATACTCTGCCCTCCAATTTTGTAACCGCATGTGTTTAGATAGCTGCCAGATTAAGGCTGCTGATTTATTCAGTTTCAATTCTGAACCTCTGAATATGCAGAAGAACCTCACTAATCCAGTCACTCAAGGGATTGGGCAAAAGTGACCAATTTAGTGAAGTGACCTGATTACTGAAACAGGTCGGGTGATTCAGGTCACTGATGCAATGTTAAGGGTATTGATAATGGACAAAGGTGACGAGCATTTAACTTTGCAATCTCATTAAAATAAAGGCATTGTCACATTTAAAACAAAAGCTGTCATGTTTTCAGCCGAGCTTTTGAGAATGTATCCAATTTGTGATCTGCCAACGCCATAGATCACAGCTAACTGTGTGTGACTTTCGCCCTTACTGTTTTTGATTAAGTCCACTCTCTCGTGTAAGGACAACTCCTTCCGTGGTGGTATGTTTACAACACCTGTCAACAGTCACTAAATCAAAACAAACAATGTACATACAAACCATATGCTCTGAATACAGCACTGCCCAAGAACTGGCTGCAGGAGCTCAAGTTAGCCCGTGGGTGCCAGGCAAGTCGATTTTCCGCTCGCGCCACTTCTGTGATCCCAACACTCCCCGCACTGCGCATGCGCGACCGGAGCCCCCTCCTCCCACAGTAGCGTCAAGTAAACAGCGCGAGAAGTCCAAGGCCAAGCACACGGTGTACTGTACAGGTTAGTAGTGGGGGTGGGGTGTTTGTATCGGGTTTGAAGCGGAGGAGGGCGCTGTAGCGGCTGCGATCAATGACCATTGTCCTGAATAGTGAGGTGCCGGGTTTACTGAAGCAGACAGACAGCCTATCTTTCAACATTGACAATGAAACAAGACTGTGAAAATGTGCCCGCAATTGTGGCTGGATTACTGAGGTGACCCCAAACCGAGTTTCTCACAGCACTGTTGTATCTAAGGATTTCTGTACCTTTCCCAGGCTGGTAGTGCTGTGTTTTAATGTTTCGAGCATCACTTTGGCAAGTATCACAGAAAGAATACTACTGTGATGAGAGGATCGCTTGAATACTGTATTAATATATATTTAAACAATTATAAAAAATATTATTTCTCTACTGAGTTCTATTTCCCCTATTCTTTTCAATTTTCTATTTGATATTTTATTTTCTATTTTGTTTTTTTGCTTGTTTTCCTTTGCCTTGTCAATTTGTATATCCCAAACCAGTGGTTAACATTTGTTTTCTTCAGTTAGTCAAGAAACAAATGAGTTAAATTCAACTTTGTGAGTTATTAGAGTAGCAGGGTAACTTTTATGTATCTTCTTGAATGGCTTCTTTGTTACAAAAAGCAGAGAATAAAATGACAGTAAGGAAAACTCACTGAAAATAAATATCTCATCAGTGGATGGGGAAAAGTCCATAAAAACTTCCTACCAAAAATAAAAAGGAACAGTTCTGCAAACGGATTTGATTAAAAATGTGCTGAATAGCCTATTGTGTCAGTTTGGTTCAGTTGGTAGTGTGTTCACCTCCGAGTTGGGAATTTGAGCTCACGGTTTAGGTGTAATGACATTCCAGTCCAGTACTGGGAGTGCACCACATTGCTGGACAATGGTTGTGGATAAAAGTTCAAGTGGATGTTATCCCTACCCCCCACCCCCCTTAGATATTATATGAAGAGAGTTTCTAATTGCTCATTCAGCTCATGGCTTTTTGTGTTCCCTTGCTACGTGCACATTCCTGCCACCTTTGCCTATCGAAGTATTACTACAATTCATTGCGATACCTGTGAAGTAGTTTAAGGTGTTTCAACATAAAATGGCATAAATATGAAAGTTGCTCTTTCTAACAGGTTATTAAAATGGAAACATTTTGTTTTATCTTTGAACACTCTTGAGGATATTGGGATTGGAGTCCTTGTACTCCTATGAAGTTTGAGTACTATTTGTGCAATAATGGTCGCCTTCCATATCCGAAGATGGCCATTTACACAATGTTAACACCTGGATATGTTTATACCGTGTTACAAAAAGAAAGTGTCTGTGACAGATTAATGGCACGATACACAGTCGGATTGATCATGGATAAAAGTTGCTCATGACCTCAACAGTATTGATGGAGTCGTGTTAAAACAGATCAAAACAAAATATCCATGACAGTTTTCAGCAATATACATTGGCCCTTTAGATTTTTTTTAAGTTGCAAAACAATTGTAAAATTGCAGGCTATAAAATTCAGGGTGACTGGACAAAAGCAGTCAGTTAATTTTCCCGTAAACCTAATCAAAGTATTCTTATGCATTCTGCACACCACAATGGTCTCTGCCAGTGATATCTAATCATAGTACATTTGCCAAAGTAATTCTCTGGAGAGTACAACTGCAATCTACATCACTAGTCATGCCAGGTTGCTATTTGTCTTACCTGGTAAACAAATCACTGTGATGAAATTAATGACTGATAAAGGGGTTACCAGAACAAGGTTAGATAATGAATGAGCAGCGAAGAATATAAGCAAACGCTAACTTATTTGTGTAGCTGCTGCAGCATGAAGACAACACATTTATACAAAACCAGATGATTCCCTAATATTTGTGTAAAAACGTATCAGTTGTCTGATATGTCTAAAATGAAGTGCATCTGTTCACCACTGGGTGCTCAGAGGAAACCAGTCTGTACGATTTGAATAAATTGTGGAGCTTTCTATAAATCCCCAGTATTGGACTACAGTACGGGAAACATAAATTTTTAATTTGCTATGGTATAGAATGCTTGAAGCTGGCATCAAAAGTGTCCATTCCCAACATAACCAATCCTTGCCTTGAAGTTTAGATCAGTTAGATCATAGCTCTTTCATTTGATGAGGCTTATCATTTTAATGATTCAGTCGTTGAGATGTCTCAAAGCACTTCACAGAATACATTGTAAAGTGGAGTACCTATGTATTGTGGGCTTAACTCAGCAGACAAGTTATTTTAGTAGCATTAAAATATAAGTATATAATGCAACTGAGATGAAGAGCTCACCACTGTTGAGGAAATGAACCTTTTCCTTTAGTGCTGTAATCAGCCCCAACTCATGGGCATGAGGAATACTCATTATTTCTACTACAACTGGAACAAAGGCATAGCTTTTCCTTGGATTTGAGTGATGACTAACAAACAATTAGCTTTTCTCACATTAGTATAGACAAGAAAATCAAGTACACGTTAGCTAAACCTGCATTTTGTATCAAATTAGATCTGTTAAAAACTCAAGGCATTGCTTTCAGATAATGTGAGAACCTTAAATATACTAAATAAACTGCACAAGTATATTTTATATATACACACACATATACATATATATATCAGCTTTTAAAAAAGTAAACCAGTCATTCAAAAAACATTTCAAACAAATTTCAATTTATTAAATACAGCAAACATCAGGAAAACTTATTTTCATATCACTTGAGGTTAAATATGTGATGCAGTGGCTTCTAATCAGTAGTTTTCACAGATGAACACTTAGTGTGCAGGCAAAATAGTACATTCAAACAAAGAGTTGCAATTAAATTATGAATAATGGAGTAAGGCAAGTCACCACAATGGATCAATGACTTCTATTTATTACAGGCAGTCCATTTACTTATAATGGTATGTTAGTGCATATGGTTGTTTACACAGTACTGACATAGGCAATATTTGATGGGATATGTTGTCTCTTCACATCAGAAGCAACTATAGTGCAAGGCCAATCTTACAAATAGTGTTCCTAATGTGCTTCATAGTGTAACCCGAGCTGCTCTTTTTGACTTTTAGAACACAAAGACTGAGAGCTCTCACACAGCGCAAGACAAACATTTCAGAGCCGCTGTGTTAGTGTCCAGTAGCCTAGGTTTAATACTTTAGGGGTTTGCCTTTGTTCTACAAACATACAAAACAAAACGCTCCACAGAACTGTAACCAACATGGAAAACATCTAGTCTGTATTAAAAAAACTAGTAAGATGCAATGAACCAGAAGTAGAAAATCCCAGGAAAATGCTTGGTGTCCCAATTAAATCTGTAGTGTTACACATACTGCAAACACAAAACATCCCCGTCTCCCCACTATGAAATATACACACATTCCTATGGATTGAGTGCCACAGTGAATGTCCAACATCAAATTCCACACTGTACAAAGTTAGTTTGGAGCACTATTCCAACCAGTCCACTTCATCAAATTCAGAATCATCCTCTGAGTCACTGTACTCCACAGCAATACGTCGAGACAGAATTGTTGCTACGTCATTACCAACTTGTTCGTGTTTCGCCTCCTGCTCACGCTGCTCTTCCACCTTGCGAAGCTGAATGCCTATCAAAGAAGAAATGGGAAGGTTTTTATTCTGTAAAGTTAAATGAGTTGTGTTGCAGAAACTGAAGAATGGAGTCAGCCTCAAGTTGAACAACCCTCCCCTTCAATGTGGAAAAATAAGATGTGCATCTGCCGGTCTGAATCGGAATTGAATTTCCTGGAGACATTCTCATCTCATCGAGAGGTCTGCCTCACACTTGTATATATAATATAAACATCTCATTCTCTTAAAATTCCAGGAATGATAAACCACTAACCTTTGTTTTGTATCACCTAATGCATCAAGATAGATGTATTCATGCAACTTGTTCTTGTATTTCTCTGGTATTTCTATGACCCTATACTTTATCATTCCTCAGCCTAGAATGCAAGTCAGCAATGCATACAATTGGGTTATTTGGTCATTAATCCAAACAACATGAGAAACAACTAATAGAGTAAATTTACACCTAGGTGGAATTTCTCCCTATTTACATAGATTTTAGAGAGTTCAGAATTTGCAAACTCTGTTTTTCTGTTCTTAAATACAGCCTTAATTTTGAAGACGATTTTCTGCAAGTTTTTTTAAAAAAACAATTAAAGATAAGAGACTTCAAGACTAAGACTGAATTCAACAATCTGCCAAATCTTGGGCTGAAAATTTGAGTCCAGTTATTAACACAGAGTAATGCATGTTCAATGCATTAAAAAGTACATTGTAGTTTACTTACCTTTACGTATTGCTTCAAGCAGAACACTCCTAGCATCACTAATCACAGGCAGGGAAGACGGATGTCGTTTAGCATCAGATCCTGCTTGAGAAGGAGATGATGGTGGGACCAACGGAACTGCTGGTCTGGAACCAAAAGATGGTGGTGGTGGACCTGGTGGTGGTGGGACAGGTCCTACGACAAGGGGAGAAAAGGATCGTGGTCCAGATGGAGGAGGGGGTGGTGGTGGTGGGGGTGGTGGTGGCAGCCCTTGTCCTTTACTTGTTTGAACTGGAAAGGTAGTCATCACATCAGCTCCATGCGACGGGGCAGAAACTGGAAGGGAAGGCTTGATCAATGGGGGTGCTACTGGAGGAGCAGCAGGATGAAGTACTCCAGGGGCAATCTGAAGAGGTGTTGCTGGTGGTGGCACAGATACCATTGGCTGTTGCAGCATAGGAGCAAGTGGAGGTGTTGAGGTGATGGTGGTTCTGACTGAAGCTCCTGTGAGAGGAAGAGGAGGTGGTGGGGGTGGTAGTGGAGGAGGGGGAGGCGGAACAGCAGGGCTCATAATTACGGTTGCCTTGCTGGTAACTGGAGATCGAAGATGATGATCCATCAAATCGGCATTCAAACTGAAAAGGAAATCAACACATTTTTAGTACAAATATTAATGACATTTTAACTAACATATACAAAAGATACAAACTAGGGTACTTACCTTCATAGGGCCACCTTCATTCTTTGAATAACAAATATCCTGCACATGCTACCAACAGGGCAAATCACAAGCAAAAGAGATTTCCTGACAGAGGATGTTGTAGCATAACTCATAAGATTTTCACTCTCCCCCTTTGTGTGTCAAAATAATAAACCACGTTCCTATTGGTATAGTCAGTTATTTGCTCGGAGAATCATAGAAATAAAGTACTTGCATGTATTTTTGTCAATAACAGGCCTTAGGTTTTCTGATAGAGCAACAAAAGAGACAAAGACTGAATGGACATGGAAAATATATACAAATATAATTGCTGCAAGTCCTCAAACTCAAAAGAATTGAAGTGTGTGTGGGGTGGGGGTGGGGGGTGAAAAGAAGAGTTCTATGTAGAAGTTGAAGAAATAAGTAATCTGACATTCACCCTCATACAATCTTAATAAGCAAATCAATTAAAGTAATACACTATTGGAGGCAGGAAGTTAAGGATTGATCTTGAAGTTAGATCAAGTCAGTAATACGTTGTCAAAGCATAGAGTACACTACTTAAGGCAGTGGTTTGTGCAGTTTGAGTGGTGTAAAACTGAATACCAGTTCTTATGTGGCCACACTGCAAGTAGAAGGAGTCTATTTTACCTGGTGGTTCGAAATCTAAAGTGCAGCATAAATGATAAAACATTTACTTAACTGATGCAAGTCAAAGTACTGCTACACTAATACAGAGGGTTAAGAGGAAGGAAGCAAAAATGGGGAAAGTTGGTATTCATTTTGAATGGGGGGGCTCTAAAATATATTATATATAAATATAATATATCAGACTACTGATATTCTGAACAAATGTACCAATTTGTTTTTCTCGCTTCCATTTTTCCCCCTCATTTCTCCTGAAGATGCTGACTTATTCTGAAGAATGGTTCCATAGGTGCTAGCTGCCCTCCGGTATCTCAGCCCGTTCTTCATGCATGAGCCTAGACAGTGATTGTTGGCAGGTTATTCGACCATAAGGGGCACCAGAGCAGAGCTCAATCCTGCCCACACCTGACATTCACACATCCTTTCCAGCAGGAGTCACTCGATAGTCAGCAGCCAGAATCCAACCAGATTTTTCTCCACCCTAGTCTAGGTCATTAAGGCCAACTGTAAACCCCTATTAACTGAGATCAGCTGACATAGCACAGACTGGGGAATTGACTATTTTAAAACAAGTTAGATTACTATGGTTTACCAATACAAAGTGTGCCCTACCTAATTTGAAGTTAGTTCCATCACTGCGAGTATAAGCAAGTCTAAAACCATTTCATTTCTTAAATGAAATAAGTTAAGTTGTCAAAGAAATAGATTCTTGGTGCAGCATTGCTTACCTAAAGACTGGTGGGACCGGTTTCACATCAGTCACAGTCTGCACTGGTGGAGGTGGAGGTGGCTCGTGAGGTCTTGAAACAAATATTTTATCCCCCATTCCAATGGAAGGATCAGTAATATGACTAATTGGTATTGTTGAGTGTACAAGGTGTAGAAGATGGTCATCTGAATAGTCAGCACAAGGGTCCTGCCTAGAAGAGGGAAAAGATTTTTCACACTTGTTAGCATTTACTTTTCATATATTATTAACTACTGGAAATTGCTATTGAATGGAACAGTCAGTGGATTAGTTATAGAAGTTTACAAATCAGCACTTTTTTTTGATCAGCTGGGTGTCTTTGACACACATGGAAACCTATCACCATGCTTAAGAGTATCCAAACCAGACGAAGAGTTCCATGTGTGCCATCTATGCTCCACCATTGCCAGGTGTACCTAGAGCCACTATACCCTGACCTCAAACTCCCTGTCATAATCCCTCCACCTTATTCCCTTTACCAACTTCCAGCGCCTTGGGATGTCCTCCCGACGTGAAAGGCGCTATACAAATGTAATTTTGTTGTATCTTCAGATTGCAACTGAAGACTTTCCTCTTCAACTGTACCTACAGTTACTTCCCCTTTCTCCCTGGCTTGGTGTAAAACTACACTGTTAAGCGCTTCAAGATGCTAACCCATGTGAAGGACACTATAATAATAATATAATAATCCTTGCATTTTATATAGCGCTTCATGTCTTCTAGACGTCTCAAAGGCTTCACAGAAGATACTGTAAAGTGAACTGACTGCATATTTTGTGGGCGAAACACGGCAGCCAATTGCGCACAGCAGTCCCACAAACAGTCGTGGATTGAAAATGACCAATTTATTATCGTTTTTTTCTTGAGGGATTATTATCAGGCGTGTGGAATAAGGAAACTTGCCCAAGGTTTCACCCTGCCAGGTTTCTCACTTGCAAAGCAAGTGTTCTAACCACTGAGCTACAGGACTCCACTATATTAATGCAAATCATTGTTGGAAAGCAATTTAATAGTTCAAAATACAAAATTACTGTATAGGCTGCAGTCTTAGCATTCCAGATATGGTGCTTTATGAATCGAGTTTCACTCAGGAATATCACCTTTGTTATGCCCCCATTATCCTTCATTGTCTGGGCAATAAGTTACACGACCAAATACCATATACAAATACTCATTTTAGTATTGTGTCTACATTTTGAGCTTCACAAAAATGAATTCTTCAACTCCACATAATTTACAAAACAAACCTTAGCTCAGAGTATAATGGTGGTCCATTGATATTATCTCGGTTTTTCTGAAGAAAATCTCGATCATCAGCTGAAAATTCTGCGCCCAGGGCTTGCTTTCCACCCTTTCGTCTGTCCTGGGGCATTCTTGGTATTCGGTCTGGTTCTCGGGGCCGATCTATTGGTTTCTGGGGGAAAAGAAAGAATGATGGCAATAGGAGCAAGATACTGATATGATACCACTACCAATAATAATGTTTCAGTAGACCTAAGAATCTGCCACCATGGAATTCGTAACTATTCCATTTACGGAAAAAAACATTTATTTAAATCTACTGCATGTTTAAAACTGTTTTTATGGAATACTGGAATTATTTCTATGAGCTTAAAATCTTTAAAGTATTATTTTCTAACAAATCTCTTTAGGCCACATTGTACAATTACCAAAGCAAACAGGCAGCATGGGACTCCTAAGATCTCTTGGAAATATTCCAAGATAGTAATAATACAAATTATTAATTAATAATTAATATTATTAATTATAGTAATAGTAATATACAAATTATTTTCACTTTCATTTTATTTATAGATTTGTGGGAAAGTAAGCAGCATTTTGTGTGTTGGATAGGCACGAATAACTAACAAGCTGAAGAAATTGCAAGATTAAACCCATGGTCTCCCACATGCAACAAAAAACATTAGGTGAAGTAGTAAGGTCCACTGATGGGCTCATATCTCAGTAACAGCTACAATTGCAATAAGCAAGAAAAAAAAACCAGTTCAATTTAAATTAAAACTATACTATTTTTTCACCCACAATTTACAACACATCACTATTTAAAGAGCTTTACCCTGCTGCTGATTAAACTGGTCAGTTTATAGTTTCCCACTTCTTCCTTCATACTGGAGGTGAAGCTGTGTTGGATTAGTGCCTCTCCATTTTCAGTAAAAAGCTGAGAAGCTCAACGTTCAGTGAGTTTTTTTTAAAATATAGAAAACACAAATGGATTGGCATCTTATATCAAGTGCAAGTTCACTGACGCACTCTGGGATAAGAAACCGAAAGGATGCTAGTATCTTTTACCCCTCCAGCATAAATAGTGGGTAGCCAAACGTTCCTAGGCTTTGCCGATAAGGATATGTTCCCCTGACAGAACTGGTTCTTCCGTTCTCAATCCTTTGGGGAGTATTTGATCTCCATTCTCAAATTCACGTTTGAGATCAAGACCTACTCTGCATTTTATTTAAAATTTGCATGTTAATTGGGTCAGTCAAAATGCCAAAAATCATTTTCTTATTCAGCAACAGTTTAAACCTTTAGTTTTCGTTCTTTCCTCTTCTCTTCGGTGTCTTGCAACATCTTTTCTTTCCACAAATCAAAGAAATATGAAGGATTTGTGTAAAACTTCAAACCATCTTTGCCATCGTCTCTGCAATAACACAATAGGTCACATTAACATCAGAATTGCTTCCTTCAGTTCTATAGATAGTCTTCAAAAGATATGGTACACATTTACCATTTAATGTCTTTTGTTAGCGATTCTGTGCCAAATGGACATTTCAGATCTATTTGGCACAGAGCACTAAACAAATTAACTTTCACTACACTAGTCCAATTTATTGTAACCACATTTAGCATTGGAAAAAAACAAATAGCCAGGCTGACAAATGTTTCTCCTGTCCCTTTCCTCAGTCACAGAGTATTAAAATACAGCCATTCTCCACTACCCTCCAGATAACAAACTAAGGGCGAAACCTTGGGCAAGTTTCCTTACTCCACACGCTTAATAATAATCCCTCCAAAACAAAAAACAATAATAAATTGGTCATTTTCAATCTACGATTGTTTGTGCGACATTGCTGTGCCCAATTGGCTGCTGCGTTCGCCCACAAATATACAGTCAATTCACTTTACAGTGTGTTCTGTGAAGCGCTTTGGGACGTCCTCCCGACGTAAAAAGCGCTATATCAAATGCAAGGACTATTAATAGGATAACAAAGTCATAGTGATAATTTGGGGTCTAAGGTCAACCATTGAGAACAAACCTAGAGCAGTTCAACATTATTTCGACCATTAGATCTGTAACTGCCTTGTAATGTTCCAGACTACATGTTGTCCTATTTAATATATAGGAAACTAGTGAATAGTTATATTCTACCGTTTTCAGTTCATTGCATGGTTTTGGTTAGAATCATAGAAATTTGTAGCACAGGAGGAGGCCATTCAATCCATCAAGTCTGCAGCAGCTTTCGGAGCAAGCTGTACTTTCAATCCAACTATCCTGCCCTATCCCCTTCAAGACTTGTTACTGTCGACAGTTATATTCTACTGCAATAGTGTGCAACAACTCCACTTATTCACCACATTAAGCAAGCAAAGATTTATTCCATCGACTAATGCTAGTCCATCACATCTGGATACTACTATAACTTATTACTTAAAATGATTGGAATTAAACAATGGACATAATACTGTGAAAATATTGATAGTGCACTGTTATTAGGAGCATTAGCTCAAAACTCAGGTTATTATAATGGGTAAAAAAACATTTTAGCCAGATCGCTAGAGAGCTTAGAGCCCAGCAATAGGTGAAAGGACTCCTAAGTTGTAATGATCATATCCCAGTTGGTCACTTAAACAGCATTTTCAGATGTTTCTCTTTACCACTGAATCCTCTCCTTTCAAGAGCATTGTATTCTCTAGACCTGGATAACTCAATAAATATGCAGTTGGTATTCCTTCGTAAGCCAATAACAAATATGTACAAAAAGCAAATTCCAAAAATACTTGCATTGATAACATCAAAATGTCTCAAAACGCTTCACAGTATACTGCAGTATTGTGACCATTTTTGGACAAACACTGCAGCTGACTTGCACATAGCCATGTCCAACAAACAGCCATGAAGCGAATGACCAATTTTATCTGCAGGATTGTAGGCCAGGACATCAGAATCTCCCTTCTTTTTTTGAATAGCGCTCTGGAATCTTTAATGTCCCCTGAACAGACAGATGGAATCCCAGTTTAAAGTTTCATTTGAAAGATGGCACCGCTTACAATGCAGCGCTCCCCTCAATCTAGACTATGAGCTCAAAGACCAGAGTTTGAACCCTCAGCCTTCTAACTCAAGAGTGAGAGTGCTACCAACTGAGCTCGGCTAACACTGCCGACCCCGATCAAAACAACCTGATCTCAAAAAATGAAAGCCATCTTTCAAGATACTGCAGACTTGTGAATAAAAACTAGGGGCTGTAATTAGGCCATTCTCTCAAGCCCCCAAATTCCCAATTAAACCATAGCTGGGCAGCTTGAGTGGGCAATTTATGCCCCCAGTGGCTGAAAGTGGGTAGTACAAGAAATAAAACAACGGAATTACATTAATAGGAAAAGTCTTGAGGAATATCTAGGAGGGGAAGGGTTTTCTATTTAAATTACTGCCTTCCCTTGTCAGCTGAAGTCTATTTCTAATGGGTATTGCTGACCTATGGTAGAAGGCAGATGCACCTTGGAGCTACTCTATTTACTCCAATGGGGATGGTTGTCTCTCTCCATCTTAGGAGATAATCAGGATCCAGTAACCATCTAAGTAATGTTTGAATACCTGCTGGTATTCTGTCTTAACCCTTATTTGGGCAGTTCTGTATCAGCTGCTAGGCTCAACCAAGGCACCCGTCCCATTAAAGTAAATAGCGACTCTGAGATAACACGCAGATCACCCCAGGCAATGAGGTTACTGGAGTGTTCTAGGTGAGGAGTTGAGGAGTCTCAGTATTCTTCGACTGTCAATAACAATACATTATTACAACATAGTCCCTTGATGCCTCTTCATATCTGTGGATGTGCACCACATAAGACAGGGCGAAACCTTGGGTAAGTTTACTTACTCCACACGCCTAATAATAATCCCTCCAAAACAATAATAAATTGTTCATTTCAATCCATGACTGTTTGTGGGACTGTTTGTGCTGTGTGTAATTGGCTGCCACGTTTTGCCCACAAATATATGGTCAATTCACTTTACAGCATATTCTATGAAGTGCTTTGAGATGTCTAGAAGACATGAAAAGCGCTATATCAAATGCAAGCATTATTATTATTATTACAGTAAATATGACTTGTACAAGGATACAATTTAATAAACTAGCTAGGAGAGCATATTGAATAGCAATTACTCTCTTTCAACTTTGTTTCCCTTGTATTGTGTACTTTTCATAATTGTGGCATCCACCTAGTGAGAGCTCAAATCTTGTTAGCTGTCAAATTACTCACTAGTGACTATTCTCCCGGGGGAGGGGGGAATACATTCAGCAGAATAGCAAAACTTGGGATGTGATCAAATGATCAACCTTGCTTAAATTTTTTTTTTTTTTTTTTTTTTTTTTGAAGGGGGTAACCAAACAGCAATATTTATAAATGCTGAAGTCTATTCCAAGTCACCCACCAGCAGATTGAATCCAGAGCACATGGTTCCTAAACGACAGTCCATGACCCAAACCACAAAGCCCTTATGCCGACAGACAGCAATTCACACAAGTTTTAGTTTTTTGCAAGTTGATAATAGGAATTCAGCTGTTAGGTTAGATGATGAGCAGCTAGGTCAGACTAAAAGTTCAGAATTTTGCTGTTCCCATTGTCTGTTTCTATACTGAGCAAAAAGGATCATAAAATGCCCCCAAGAAAAAGCAGCTGCTCAAACAAGAACAGACCATTTATAACAAGGGAGAATCGTGCCCTTCAAATAAGGATGAGGGATGAGGAACAGAGACCAAGGGGCAAAAACAATGGGAGGGTGTGGGGGAAACGGAGTGTTGAATAATAAACAAAGGGAGTGGACAGCAAAAACAAAATATTTACATTTATATAGCACCTTCCAGGTTGAGAGGACATCTCAAAGTGCTTCATAGACCTGACTGGAAGTCATAGCTGAAGGTGGGGTGGGCTAAAGAGGACCCCTGAAGTGAGGGAAGTGACCAAAAGCACAGGAGAAAAGAAACATTATAAGATAGGTTTTAAAGGTGGGGAGGGAAAGGTGAGGTGGAGGTTCCAGAATGGCCAAACATATGCACACTGATAGTGTGACCTGTTGGGGTGAGGACGTTAAGTAGTGTTCACTGAGTGGAGAGCACAGCCAGGGTGGTGCGGTTGCAGGAGGTCACAGAGGTAGGGTGAGTAGAGGCTGTGGATGGATTTGAATGCAAGGATGAGAAAGTTGAATTTGATGGGGAGTCAGTGGAACTGAACAAGGGGGAAGCAGGGAGTTAGGCTCACAGAGCCTGGAGCTGCAGAAAACAAAAGTTCAGATCTATATGCTCCAGCTCAGTGACGTCATACACATGTATGCAGATAACACCCAACTCTACCTCCACCCTCAATTCCAGCACCACTGCTGGTCTGACAGATTGCCTATCAGACATCAAGTCCTTGATGAGCTCCCATTATTTTTGTTCCTATACCTCCAGTCGAATGTCAACAAGTCAGAGTTTCTATGGCTTGGCTCCTTTAAGTGCCACCTTGTTTTAGGTGTTGAGAGCATCACCTGTGTGAATACACATTACAAGTTGTGGAGCTAGTGCAGAACTTATTATGTTCTGATGCCTTTAAACACCATATCCATGCTCGGACCGACCCAGCTTTGCCCTACATCTGAAATATTGTCCAACTCCACCTCTCCCCTTGGGCTGCTGAGACCCTCATCCATGCATTAACCACATCCATGCTTGACTACGCCAACATTCTGTTCTTCAGACTATTCAATTCTTTCCTAGACAAGCTGCAGACTATCTAGAACCTTGTAGACTCTCCCACAACAGGATCCATTGAGCCTGTCACCCATATCCTTGCCCAGTTCCGTTAGCTCCCCATCCCCCAGCAGATCGAGTTCAAGATCTTAAATCCCTCCATGCTCTCGTCCCACCCCACCTCTGAAACCTACTAAAATTGTACTGACCCAGCTGCTCAGCAGGCACAAACCTGCTTCATGTACCCTGCCCTGCTCGCCCCTCTACTGATGGACGACAGGCTTTCATACTATTTGCTTCCACTGGAACTTCATTCTGGAGTCCTCATTAGACTTGTTTCCTCATCATCTTGTTCAAGATCCATCTCAAGACCTACTTCTTTGACTGTGCATTCAGTCATTTTCCCTTCTCACCACTCCACTCAGCTCCAACCCCCAGCTTGGCTCCCAACCAGGATCGTTAAGTACCTTGGGAAGCCTTCCCGAAGTGAAAGGTGCTATATATTTGTTCTGGATGGTCTGCCACATGTGCAGGAAAGATTTGGGGAGCCTGTTGAGCAGGGTGTTCAAATAGTTGAGTTTAAATGTGATGGCATGAATGAGGGTACAATGTGAATCAGTCCCTGTAACAGTGGTTAGACCAGAAAATGCAATACGATTGGTTAACAATCAGTGCTGCAATGTTAGGACAGTGATTCCAGTTCATCCTACTACCTTTATGTCCAAGCTCAAAGGAAAATGTTTTGGCCTTAAAAGGATTCACTGTCTTTTTGCACTCATTCCCAGGATGGCTTTTACTGGCACTTCTAAACAATTTCGAGAATTCCTGAAATCAGTTACCCACAAGGACAGCCTGAACAGCCTTGTTTGCAGATCTTCAGGAAAGATCAAGATGTGGAATCAGGCACTCAGCTGGAGCAGAATGTGCTGAGCATCAAGGCATGCTACACCACAAGAACAGTACCAGTGAATTTTTAAGTATTTTCAATATCTATACATTACTCACCGGGGTTTAAAACTATTTTATCAAATCTAGACATCCTTCAGTTGAGAAATTGAACCTCAATCTGCCTATTCAGGTCCCATAGTACTATTCAAACACAGAAGGGAGTGGTGTCCTGACCAACAATCCCCCAAATAAAATTTGTCACTCACTCCATGGCTTTATGGGACACTGCACTTTACAGTGAAGATTTTTACCTTTGCAACATCCTCTTGTCATGAAAAGCATGATACCAAATTTAAGGATTATTATTAATAAAAAGATCAGTAGATAAAATTTAGTCCGCTATGCAAATTCCTATAACATTTTGCCCAACCATTCAATTTTTCATGGGTCTTTCTGAAGGGACACTACTATGGGAAATGTTTAATTGATACTACTTATAATATTTAGGATCATAAGAGACAATTGATGGGCAAGTAAAAACTTTATCCTCAGCCACCATTAAAATAAGTAAAATGTGTCTATAATAATCCATAACAAAAGACAACTGACTCATACCTATCATATTGTGTGCAGTTTTGGTCTCCTTATTTAAGAAAGGACATATTTGGCTTAGAGGGGTGCAGCGTAGATTCACTAGGTTAGTTCCTGGGAGGAGGGGGTTGACCTATGAGGATAAGTTGAGTAAACTAGGCCTATATTCTCTAGAATATTGAAGAACTAGGGGTGATCTTATTGAAACATATAAGATTCTTATGGGGCTTGACAGAGTACACAGTGCGAGACTGGGGTCACAGTCTTAAGGTTAAGGGTCAGCCTTTTCGAACAGAGTTGAGGAAACACTTCTTCACTCAGAGAGTAGTGAATTTATGGAATTCTCTACCCCAGAAGGCTGTAGATGCTCAGTCCTTGAGCATATTCAAGACTGAGATTGATAGATTTCTAAAGGATAGAGGGATTAAGGGATATGGGGATAAGGCGGGCAGATGGAGTTAGATTAGAAGATCAGCCATGATCTTATTGAATGGCGGGGCAGGCTCGAGGGGCCGAATGGCCTACTCCTGCTCCTAAGTCCTATGTTCTTATATAGTAAAGAATATAGAAACGGAAAATCCAGAAAAGTCCATGAAGAGTTTTACATGGAATGATACTGCACAGAAACAGGCCATTCAGCTCAACTAGTTTGTGCCAGTAGTCAATTTGAACTTAAACAACAGATAACCACATAAAAAAGTGAAGACACTTTGACCTTAAAACTAAAATTAAATTGTTTTAAGGGCAACATGGTATTGCAGCATCACAGTGGGATGTAGATATGCGCCCACAGCCTGCATTTCTGCTAGGTTACTATGTTAGCCCCATTATTGTGGGAGAAGCCACGGAAACTATCCTATCTTCATTAAAGAAACTTTCAATGTAAACTTAACCTACTTCATACTTTTTAAAAAATGTATCTAATCAAAAAATCTCCAGCATTATAAACAGATGAACAGTGGAATCTACTAGAATGAACTACTCCCATTGTTAGAAAGATAACTGAAGATTGGACTTTTATGCAGTATGAAACTGAAGGAAGATCACAAGATCCTAAGGTGATAATAGGGTTAGGAACCCTTAGAGGGAGCAGTGCTGAGCAATTTTTCTCTGAGAAGTGTCAAGGGATGAAGCTACATGGAACTAAAATGAATCAAGATGGATACCTTTAAAATGCACTTAAAAGCAATCCATTAAAAGCAACACATTCTTCCTGCTGTGAGAATATCAATGGCTTTGCTCATAGTAGTCAGCAAACACAAATATGCAAGTCTGCCTGGTTGAAAAATGGCAACTGCTCCCATTCTCAATTTTTTCTGTGCCTTTGCATTCCTTTGGTCAATTGTGTACGAAAGACTTAACCAACAGAAGAATTTTAAAAAGCAAATTTTCTTCTCATTTCCTCTCTAATTGGGAGGCAGAATAATGTCACTAAAGCTATCTTTGAATTTATTTTTAAAAAGTCAGTCTTTTGATTTTAGGATTAAAGCTTAACCCCTCCCTCACCGCGCCCCCCCCCCCTCTTCCTTTCCTGAAAAAAATATTCAAAACCTTGGGTTAAACTCAAAGTGCTGTCAAGCCAAATTATTTGTTAGATGAAAAAACTCAATTGTATTTTGCCCCTCCCTTACCATAACAAGTACAAGTTACATAATAGTTATACCATGAGCAATGACATCCTATCACCAGAAATGGGCAGCACACCTTGTAAACACGACATGTGTTGATACATACTGGTGCAAGATGAATAAGTACCATCTTCAAATAAAGCTCTCACTGAAAGATAAGTGCACTTCACAGTAAACAGTGAACAAACAAATCACATTTAATATTTATACACAGAAAATCTACTTAATGTAGTTTATTTTAAAATAGCAAAGAAAATTAATAATTTTAAGATTGTCTGCCTATTCCAGCTTATTTTTGAATAGTTTAGTAACTATAACTTCCAAAAGTGATGGCTTTTTTATTAAGCACACAAAATAAATATAGGTCACACTGTAATATGACATTTTGGCAGTACACCATGTAAATTCCAGGCCTCTGTCCATCACTAAGTTTACTATTTACAGAATTAAAAAAAAATCAAAGGCCCAAATTTGGTCACAGCTGTTTTTCTGTAATTATTTGTTCTGAAATTAGCTATCTGATTTTCTTTCTTTCTAAGTCTCTCATCTAAGTTTAAAAAATGTCCAGACCTGTACGAAGAAAGGATATTAAGCGGTGGTGGTTTTTCACATGTGCTGTAAGTTTCCAATAATGGAATAGGCAACGACTTGCGGTCAAACAGCTGCTGGTCCTGAATTGTGGAACTTCGGAAGGCTTTCCTCATTGTAATATCTTGCAGCGACACTGAAATGAGAAACCAAAGAGCAATTAAGGCTGGAAATCATTTAAACCCCCTGTCCTACATACTTCTTTGAATAAAATACTAATGGACTAATGTTCACAAAATTATCATTGCATGACTTCAAACTTGCTATTCTAGTCATTTATACCACATATAATGCCAGTATAATTAATACTTCTCTTGGGAGGCCATCATAGGGAGAACACATGACATTACACAAAAACATTTGTAGTTTTTTTTAAAAAAAAACAGCATCACCAGAGACCAAAATCAAGCTGGAATAACTAGTGGGCGGGAATTTTGTTTACAAGTTCACATATCACTACTTTAACATGGGAGAGAGTAATATTGCTCAGGGAGTTCTCATTAATCAGCAGCAGAGAAGAAATTTAGGTTTTGGGTTCGCCCTACCGATTATAATCCTTGCATTTGGTACAGCATTTTATCACTTCATAAAAAATCTTAAATGCTTCGTAGGATTTATTGTAAAAAGTTTTAGTGACTATTTGTAGGTGCATTTGGATCCCTGGCACTACCATATCCCAGCTGTATTGGAGGATGTCTAGAATAATAGAAAAAAGTTTTACTGTGATGATAAAAATATTCTTCGATCCATATTTAAAGTCACACGTACATTTTAAATAGGAACTAAATTACTGTTATTTAACCAACGTGGTATGAACTGAATACGTGATAGAAAGGACGCTGGTGCTTACTTTCAGACAACTCACTGAATTAATCAGAACACACAAGCAAATAAGATGTGAGCAAGTTACAGCCAGCAGAACATTAGGATCTAAATTATATCCACATTTTCCCATCCAAGATCAGCTGTTTCTAACCTCAATCAATGTATGTAAAATTAATAATAGCAGTTGATTTTGTCCTTATCACGCCTTCAGGATGTCTCAAAGAGTTTCACAGAATATATTGTAAAGTGCTTTGACTGTATATTTTGTGGGCGAAACGCAGTAGCCAATTGTGCACAGCAGTGTCCCACAAACAGTTGTGAATTGAGTGGCCAAATTATTATTACTACCGGAAAAGCAATCCGCAAATCGACTAACAACTGGGTTCCTACTTAGTGCTAGGTAAACCGAGGTGTGTGGGGCAAGGAAACTTGCCTAACGTTTCACCCTGCCCGGGAATCAAACCCAGGTCCTTTCGCTTGCGAGTAGCATGGGAGCATAAGGTGAGGACCTTTGGCTAACTCGTCACATTGGATAATTTGTTACTAGGACCTTATGTTTAATATAGTAAACACGTTATCCGGAGTTTACTATATTAAAAGATCAAAGAAAATGATTGAAAAACAAATGCAATTTGTACAACAAAGGACAGCTTGTTTGATGTGGCAATGCAGATATAGTTACAAACAAAGGTCCACTTTAGATCCCTGACAAATTATTCAACTCCAGTATTCTGAAGTATTAACTGTCATAGCTATATGGAATCCTATCCTATACCTATGGAAATTTAAAAGTTGGGACGTGCTGCATTATATTTGTGTACAGTACTAATTAATTTAGAGAAGACAGTTTGTGCTTTTCCTTGTTGTATTGGCTTTGATATTTCAGTAAAGTTGCCTGCACTAAGTACAAATACAACAACAACATTTCATTTATAGAGCGCCTTTCACGCCGGGAGGACGTCCCAAGGCGCTGGACAGTTGGGTCGGGACCCGAGCAGGGGAGAAATGGTCAGGATGAGGGGAGGGAAGGAAGGGAGCGAGGAGGGGGTAGAGAGTCGACAGGGGAGCCGAAGGCACGGTTGAAGAAATGGCATGAGATCAGGCTTTGAAAAGCCCGGCACTATAATTCTGTTTATATAAAAGGCTAGCAATTTTACTATAAAATTAAACAAAACAATCTTTGCTTCAATGAAACTTCTTATAGCTCCCAGTCAGATAAAGTTTCCGAATACCCTAGAACATTTAGATTGGGAAAGGAAAAACAAGGAAATAGATGGAAATTCTCATACTTCAGAAACTGTGCCTGCTTAGGTGAGTGTTAAAAACACCATGGAACTATCAGAAAGAGAAAGTAGTTTCTTCAAGTGTCCTGGCCAACAATTATCAAGGTAATCCATCGACACTACATTTTAAAGCACTGAGATGTTTAAACAATGGATAAGCAATTATACCAAATGCAAGGATTATTAAAACATGGTTATGTGCTAAATACAAGGCTTCTTTGTGGTTTAAAGCTGAGAAAAGTTGGCCAAAATATTTACAGATCTTAAAATTGAAATCAAATATTAATATGAACACAGAAATATTTGAAAAGAAAGGGTTTGCTTGAATTGAATAAATCGTGGTTGAATTTAGATTGTTAGTCAAAGTGCTAACAAATGCATTTGGGCTTGAATGAGACACTAATGCAAGTGCAATAGCAAACTCTGGAGTAGTCTAAAAAGCTTTATCAAAAGAAGTAGCATGTTCCTATGGGAGAATGCTCACTAACACTTCAAATTAAGCAATTTAAAAATACATTTAGAAAAAATTGTTTGCTTACGTTCCTCCTCTTTTGGATCCAGCTGAGTCACACTAACTGAAAGACGGTCAACGCGCTCCTGCAAAGAATTAACCCTGAAGGAGAAACTATGAGCTTCATTGAATAGCTCCCCAAATATATCTTCTGCATATTTGCCTGAAAAATAGTTTGAAAATAAATCAGATCCACATTTGAAGAGAGGAAAACAAACATAAAATTGAAAACAAGGACTAGATTTCTATCAAACACTATGACATTGCTCATTAAAAATGAGCCGTTCACCAGAATTTTACAGTGAATGCCTACAAAGTGAAGGTGTGTGGATAGGAGCTATTGAATTACATTATTCAATAGTGGAGTCCTGTAGCTCAGTGGTTAGAGCACTCGCTTTGCAAGCGAGACACCTGAGTTCAATTCCAGGCAGAGGGCGAAACCTTGGGCAAGTTTCCTTACTCCACACGCCTAATAATAATCCCTCCAAAAACAATAATAAATTGGTCATTTTCAATCCATGACTGTTTGTGGGACATTGCTGTGCACAATTGGCTGCCGCGTTCGCCCACAAATACAGTCAATTCACTTTACAGTATATTCTGTGAAGCGCTTTGGGACGTCCTGCTGGATTTCCTTGAATCCAAGACCAAGGGAATCCGCTCCGCGGTCACTTCCCCTCCAACTTCCACCCATCACCCACCCCTTCCCTCCCACACTCCGACTCCTACCCATCCTCCCCTACTCACTTTTGTACCCGTTTCCCCACCCTCTGTCACTGAACTCATCCTATCCCTAAAACCAACCACCTGCTCCCTTGACCCCATCCCCACTCCACTCCTTATCTCCCAGCTCCACTTTCTTGCCCCACATATCACTGACATCATCAACCTGTCCCTCTCCTCTGGCTCTGTCCCCATTCCATTAAAAACTGCCATCATCACGCCCACCCTGAAAAAACCCTCCCTTGATGCGTCGCAGCTATCAAGCTACCGGCCCATCTCCAACCTCCCCTTTCTCTCCAAGGTCTTGGAAAGAGTTGTCGCCTCCCAACTGCGCTCTTTCCTTTCCACCCATTCACTTTTCGAACCCCTTCAGTCAGGTTTCCGTGCTGCCCATAGCACAGAAACTGCCCTGGTCAAGGTCACCAATGATATCCTGACCATCTGTGACCAGGGCTCCCTCTGCCTCCTCGTCCTCCTCGACCTATCGGCAGCATTCGATACGGTCGACCACGCTATCCTACTCCACCGCTTGTCCTCCCACCTCAACCTTCAAGGCACTGTCCTTGAATGGTTTAGGTCGTACCTTTCTCACCGTCTTCACTTTGTCTCGACGAATGGCTTCTCCTCCACCCCCCGTACTGTCTCATGTGGTGTCCCTCAGGGCTCTGTCCTCGGTCCCCTCCTCTTCACCCTCTATATGCTCCCCCTCGGTGACATCATCCGCAGACATGGAGTTAACTTCCACATGTATGCGGATGACACCCAACTCTACCTTTCCTCCTCTACTCTCAACTCCACGACCACCGATGTCCTGACAGCCTGCCTGTCCGACATCGAGTCCTGGACGAGAGACAACTTTCTTCAGCTCAACGTGCGAAAAACCGAGGCCCTCCTGATTGGCTCACGTCAGCGCCTCCGCACCTCAGGCGCTGACACCATCAGCATCCAAGGCTGCACTCTCCACCTCTCAAAGCCAGTCAGGAACCTCGGCGTTTTGTTCGACCCTGAGCTGTCCTTTCTCCCTCACATCCGCACCACAACTGGCACCGCCTTCCATCACCTCCGGAACATCGCCAGACTACGGCACTACCTCACCCCTCACGCTGCTGAAACCCTGGTCCACGCCTTTGTCACCTCAAGGCTGGACTATGGGAACTCTCTCCTCGCCGGCCTTCCCGCCACCTCCCTCCACAAGCTGCAGGTCATTCAGAACTCTGCAGCTCGTGTACTGTCCCGCACCAGGCTTCGGGACCACATCACTCCCACCCTCGCTCGCCTCCACTGGCTCCCCATCCCCCAGAGGATTGACTTCAAGATCCTCATCCTCACCTACAAGGCCATTCACGGCCTTGCTCCCTCCTACCTCTCCAACCTACTATCCCCCTACCTACCTGCCCGTACCCTCCGTTCCTCCGGCTCCGGTCTGCTCCACGTCCCCCGCCCCAACCGCCCTACCATCGGTGGTCGGGCCTTCAGCCTCTCAGCCCCGAGGCTCTGGAACTCCATCCCCCAGTGCCTTCGCCGCTTCCTCCCTTTCCTCCTTCAAGGCCGGTCTCAAAACCTTTCTCTTTGACCGTGCCTTCAGCTCCCCTCTCGACCCTCTTCCCCCTCCTCGCTCCCTCCCTTCCCTCCCCTCACCCTGACCATTTCCCCCTCCTCGCTCCCTCCCTTCCCTCCCCTCGCCCTGACCATTTCCCCCCTCCTCGCTCCCTCCCTTCCCTCCCCTCGCCCTGACCATTTCCCCCCTCCTCGCTCCCTCCTTCCCTCCCCTCACCCTGACCATTTCCCCCCTGCTCGGGTCATGACCCAACTGTGCAGCGCCTTGGGACGTCCTCCTGACGTGAAAGGCGCTTTATAAATGGAATCTTGTTGTTGTTGTTGTTGTTGTCCTCCCGACATGAAAATTGCTATATCAAATGCAAGGATTATTATTATTATTGGGAATTTATCATTAGCGAATCCTCTCTATTAACTGTAATCGTATAGAATTTTTAAAAAAATTCCATTTGTATCTTGCTTACAATCTACAATGTTTTTCCACTTTTAGTCATCTTAATATTTGAAGTACTGCTAAAGATAAGCACAAAGTAATGTCCATTCTGCTTGAACCTGTAATATATACTTGAACTACAAATATAACAGAGGGCTTCTGGCAGCCATATTTTTCTTCATTCTATTTGTGAAACTCGTTATTTTGGGTTGCTTTAATAAATATGAATTATTGGTGCCAATGATCTACTTCCTGGTGCAGTCCAAAAGTATTATTACACTTTGCTGAATGTTCTTACAAGTGTGTAAATTTAGTAAGTGCACTTTAGAAAGAATTCATTTAAATTGTTGCCCCACAAAGTAGCAGGTAAACAGCATCAAGTTTCTCATCAGTGGTATGAAAGAGAAGGGATTTAAAGAAATAAAACAGTAAGGTTGGGGAATTTTTTAGAAGATGCAGCTTCTCGCAACTAGTCAAATACAGCAATGAACTAAAACAGGACGTTTCAAGAGGTAAATGGCCTAAAGAGAAATTGGGAAGGCGTAAAGAGAAATTGTGCTCTCATAGAAAAGTATATTACTTCTTAAAAGTATATTACTAGACCAGAGGAAACAGACTCAGGATATTTTCCTTTGGAAGCATATGGTCAGTTTCCAGTAGTTACATAGAGGCATTTACATAGAGTGACAGCATGGAAACGTGCTAGTTGACTTTACTGGTCTGTGCTGGTGTTTATACTTCACATGTGCCCCCATCCCTCCTATTTCCCTCACCTATACCCCTTTATCCCCTTCTCCCTCATGTATGCATCAAGTTCTGTCTTCAATAATATTGATGCCTTTCGCTTCAACCACAGTTTCCAGCAGCAAGTTTCATGTTCTCATCAACCTCTGCATCAAGAAGTTCCTCCTAAACTCCCTATTAGATCTACTACTAGCTACTATATATATACACATATATATATAAAACATATATATATATACACATATATATAAAATATATATATAAAACATATATGCATATATGTATGTGGAAACAGCCGATAAACACTCACCTTTCAAATCCTTTCATAAACTTAAAAATAGCTAATATACATAATTGCAACAGGAGTAGACCATTCATTTAGCTGGCCGATCATCCAGATTGAGGATCTTTCATTTCATAAAAAAATTAGCAAGTTTGCAGTAAGGCTCATCGCATGCAGAAGAACAATTTCAAGCAGAAGTAGACTATCTAGCTTACCATAAATTTCCCATAAAATTCCTGGTGTGTTGGTCATTTATATTCAATCAGCTACAGATGCAGAGAAATGTTGTTGATGTAAACAAGATTTTATTCTTAAATGGTTCCTCAGTAATTTGTCACACATGTTGTACAGAAGAATTAGTCAACAACAGGGACAAACAAAATAATTTATATGAACAGGAAGAATTAGAATGAATATTCAGTTAAAAAATATAGAAATATAGAAAATAAACAAATATAGATAGTGGCACAGTAGATTAACACACTGGTCTTTCACCCCTGGAAACTAATCTCGAGCCCAGCCTTTGCTGCCTTTAAAAGTTTGACATGAATTATCTTTGAGCAGAGTCTTGAGCAGAAAAAGGAAAGCACTCGTGGGAAAATAGAAAAATATTGCAATGGTAATTGGGAAAGCTCTTATGAGTTGGAAAAGAATAGAATGTTCCAATTATAAGGAGCAGCTGATATTTCAAATTGGATAGTATTGTATCTCAGCAATAACATCCTTATCTTGAGCAGNAAAAAGAGAATTATATTCCCTGAAAAATGTGAGACCATTACTTTGCAATACTGATGGAAGATTCTGCTGATTACTAGAACAGACTTCATTCACTTGAAAAATTGACTACATTTGTTTCTTATTATTTAATGCTTGCTGAGCAGGATTGAGGCAAGCTTGTTTTGGAGGCTGACTGTGATGGAGGTGTTGGCATTAAAAGAAATTCGGAACCTCGCAAAGAGATCACACCGCTCCCACCTTATCTATCATGACAATTGTTCAACAGCCATGTGTAAGGACTGAGCAAGCTTATACAGTTTTTTTTATTAATATGACAACTATTTTGAGCGGGAATGTAAATGTATGTATTTTAGGGCATTTGCCTATAAAATCTATCTACTAAAGGGTCTATTCATTCATAAACACAAAAAATAGTTACATTTTTAAAACCCACACTTCAAGCATTATGTCCAATGCCAAAGACATTTTCTAGACAGTGAACACTTTCTGTGGCTTTTCTAGATTCAAGGCTGCCCAATGAAGTAGAATCAAATCAACCTCTTGAATCATGCTCGTATGAAAATCATTTCAAGGTTATATAACAGTTCAGTATATCTACGTTTCTATTAACAGGGAATGTACAATGTTATTACCAATAATTAGCTTCCATGTCATACTGTGAAAATTAAGATTTGCACCAATACGTTTTCAGATGCGCATAATCAGAAACAGAGAAAAATCCATCCGAGTGAAATACTTACTGAGGCTGCTCAGCTGTCGGATTACATTTGCCAAAGAAATGTTAGTCACACACTCCAGTTCATTCCGAATACTTCCCGGTAGCACTGTATGGCACAGATGCCTAGGCTCTATGTTTCGTTTCACTAATGGCATTCTGAATTCAACATACAGAACAAGAAACCTGCGACAAAAAAATTATATCAGTTAATATACTTTAGGAATGAAGAATCACTGTTACATGCAAAGCTTTATTTTGGATTTAACGATCACCTTTTATTAAAAAATCACATTTTAACAAATGGTGTTATATAAAGTGCTATAGCATTCTTCAAAACATGATGTTTTCCTTTCTATTTTTCAGAAAGAGATGGGTAAAATGGGTTTGAGAAGGATGACACTAAGCAAAATCTTTTTCTCTATATTTTTCCTCTTTTCATGGTACATCCTTACCCAAGAGGATTACCAATTACAACAACAAATTACATTTGTATAGTGCCTTTCACGTCAGGAGGATGTCCCAAGGGAATGGACAGTCAGCGATCCACACCCGAGCTGGTGGTAAGGATCAGGAGGGGTGGAGGCTGACCAAAGTCATAGTTGAAGAGGAGAGACTTGAGACGGGTCTTGAAGGAGGCAAGGGAGGGGGCGAGATGGAGGAACTGTGGAATGAAGTTCTTTTGGGGTTTCTATGCATTTCTGGGATAGAACTTTTAAAATATAATCTTTATATTTGATAGTGCTTTACAATGTCATTTGAAATGCCTCAAATTTTTCTGTAGAATGTAGTGACTGCCTTTGTAGGTAAACGCTCCGAGACACCGCCTGGCCAGAAGGGTGCTATACAAATGCAAGTTGTTGTTGTAAACACAATAGCCAATTTATGCACAGCAATGTCCTACAAACCATGAAGTGAATTTCTAACTTTATCTGCAGGATTGTTGGCCAGGATACCTAGAGAAACTTCCTTTTTTCCCCAATAGTGCCATGTTTGACTGAATACTGTACAAACACATGAATGACAACTTGCAGACAACAGCAACGTTCAACAATACAAAGTCATTAGATTTTGAAACTCAAAAGTACATTCACCACCATTTCATGAGAACCAGACAATGATCAGAATTGATTGAGCTTAAGGAATCAGTCTTTATCAAAACTAGCCATTCAAATGTACTTTTAACTTTTCCAATGCCGTGTTCAAATATCCAATAATAATGGTATTATTGATTAATTGAATGGGGAGAGGAAGAGGGGAAAAAGATAAGAACTCAATAACTTGTAAACACTTCCTAGTCTGCCTTCTTGTATTTAGTTTTGTTTTCAGATGCAGCTCTTCTTCTGCTCTGCTTTGGATTATTCTCATTCAATATTTAAGAATATTTTATTCTTTGAGTGATTTCCTCTTGTTACAAGTTTCAAGTCACAACTCTTTGTAAGTAAAACATTCATTTGTGTGAGTTTAAAAGCAAAGAACAGAAAATAATTCCTAAAGTGGTGGTAGTAAATAGCCTTCCAGCACTATTTTCCTATTGAAAATGATGAGGATGTAGCATTTCAGCTAAGCCCTACCTTTGTTTTCTCTGTGTGCTTTGATGTTTTCCATGAACACAGTGCTGTCAACAAACCCATAGGTTATTCTTTTTGAAAGGGGGTGAAAGGGAATTCAATCTAAAATAATTCCCCTTGCTAGAAAAACTATTAAAGATTTTAAAAAGAAAGTTGTTGACCATTTTGTATTGGAAACAAACTGCCAATGGAGATCTAGCACATCAGTTCTGCTGGTTGGAAAGTCCTTCTTGGAATATGCATTCACCAGAACAGTATCTGGCCAGCTGCCATTTATCTGAGTAAATCCCAGATGGTACTGAACTTTATGTTTATACTGTATTTCTGTTCTAGGATCAGAATCCAAGGGCAGAGAGAATGCCAACTTCCAGTTAAATGAATGGTAGCTGGCTGGATAACTATCAAAGCACATTTTCTATGTTGCCAAAAGTGGTGGTTCTCCAACAGACTGCATTTCTAATTTTGTAACAGAACAACAGAGCAAACATGTTTTCTTAGTGGAGGAGATCTTTAACAATGTGCAGCATTTCTTTAGGAGCACATTAGATGGAATTCATTCTCTCCTCTCCCCTATATTGTGCAGCAAAATATGCCAGCACAGGCAAATGCACAATTCTATTCATCACTATTAGCAGGTGATGTTATCTGCATACAAATCCTCTATTTTATGGACATCACTGACTGGGAACAATTAACAGCGAGTGGGAAAGGAGTTCAGCAACTTTGACTGGAATCCTTCCACAATCCACCTCATACTCAAAACTACTAAACTAAAACCTAGTATAAAAACATAACTCATTAGAGCAATAAGATGCCCTTTTTTGAGAACCATCCACTTGTGGAATATAAATCTCAACTTAGTCTTCAACCCTCAGTCTTTCCACACATCTGTACAATCACATATGCTCTGATAACTACATTTTAGCCAGTGGAAAATAATAGTAGTTTTTTTTAAAAGAAGGTTAAGAATAAAATTCATTTGGTATATCCACTCTAATTTCAGGGAAAACACTTTCTACTCACATCAGCTAATTTTATTTTGACCAATAACCCCTCTTCCTCCACCCTACCCAAAAAAAAACTTCAAGTAGTAGAGCGAGAGCACTCTGTTTAGAGGATACTTTGTATTCAAAGAAAGAAGATACACCTAAAAATCTTCTAGAATCCACTGGAAGCAAACAAACTATCCCAATTCCCAGTGAAACCTTAGCTAGGCAGAATTTTCTACAATACTGCAATTCAGGCTTAAATGTTTAGAGGATGAGTCAATAAACAAACATTTTTAAAAAAAATACACATTTTACTTTCCTTAATCATTACAAATATTTGAGTACAAACTTCAGAGGCTATAATGGTTGTGAGCGGTACTGCAAAAGATTCAATCCAAATGAATTACAACTCCTCTACCATAAGGCACAGGTGTCACTGAATGGTTGAACGCAAGTTAAAAGAACATTCTACGTCTCACAGGGTAGATAATGTTATTAGATGTGGAACAACAACGATTATGGAAAACAAGGTAACACAAAGTCGGAATTCCAAGAATTAAATTAACAATTTTGATTCAGATAAAGTATAAAAAAAAACAAATTGCATTTACGTAGTGCCAATGAGGGGGTTTGCATCCAAGCTGTGGGTTGGGATCAGAGAGGGATGGAGGAGGAAAGATGACCAAATATCAATATTTGTATTAATATAAATGTTAATGTTTATTAATTGTGTTAATAAACATCAACACTGGATATGATTGAAAAGAATAAATCTGTTCCATGGTAGCAGAGTGCACAGCTATTCGGATTTATGGCAGTGAATTTCCAGGTGTCCAGTGCGGAAACTTAACCTATCTTGATCCCATACTGATCCAATTATTTACAACAGGCTTTAAGGGTATGCTCCCTGATAATGAAGTAAAGGAATGCCCAGATTTCAAAGCACTGAATACTCGAATTTGTAGAAAAATACAACCAACTAAAAATCAGCCTCTTGCCTTGATTGCCGTCAAATCTCAACTCAATAAAATAGCAGCCTGGTGTAAGAACTTACTTGAGACAACAAAAAGCAGCTCAGTTGTTTTCAGTGCATCCATACAAATTAGGGTAGACTTTCTAGTAATTCTTGCTGGTCTTCTCTTCACTTCTCCCCCCCACCACCACCCGGCTCTACAACAGTTCCACTTTCAGCCTCTCTGCAACCACTGTACTTTCTCCATGGAGACCACAAAAGGTCACTCAAGATCTCATCCATTGGACATAGAGCAAAACATCCCATCTAGCAATCTCACTGAGAATCGGAAAAACATGAACTTTTAGGAGAGTCAAGACTGGGTTCAACCAGAGGACACGGCCTGCGATTGAAGAAGGATAAATTCAGAACGAATCTACACAAACACTATTTCAGTAAGCAAATAGTGAACCTGTGGAACAGGCTCCCTAGGGAGACGGTTGAAGCAGGAAGTGTTGATTCTTTCAAACACAGATTAGATAGTTTTCTTTTAGGAGATAACATTATGGGATATATTACATAGGTATTTTGGGACATATGTGCATACGACCCCCAGGAAGGTGGAAGGCAAACTAGATGGACCATGGTCTTTTTTCGTCTAACATTTATGTTCTTAACCTCAAGTTCATGATTGGAAGCCAGCATAATTTTAAATAAATTCATATCAAATTTTCTTTTAAAAAACCCAGTAGCAAGCTACAAATAGAATACTCTATACTTCACGGAAAACAAAGACCACTGTACCACAGCACAGAATGGCATTATGTTGGCTCCTCCACAGGCTGACTTCCTGATTTAAGCAATGTTGTCATGGTGAAACACGGAGTGAAAGCCAAAGACTTCACAACAAGGGGGGCAATTCAGGGTCAACAACAAGCTGTTAACAAGAGTTAGTGTGGTCAGTTTCAGAGTTAGTGGTCAATTGCAGAGCCGTAATGACTGAAACCAGTAACAGGCTACCTGTCCATGTGTGTAAAGCAAACAGAATAATCACAAACCCGTCCACTACATCCAAAGTTACATGTATAGCCTGAATTATGAAGAAAACCACAAGTTTATATTCAAACTAAGTTTTGATTTTTCTTAACAGGTGCACGGAGCATCAAACGCACCAAAGGAGGCATTTAGGATAGATGTACCTCTACCACCTAAAGCAATGACCAGGAAATCAAACTGCATATTTCAAAGTTTAAAAATAAAAATGACTTTAATTTCATAATAAAGGGAAAAAGAGAAAAAAAGAAGGTTCATCGCTATTTATCTAGAATAGACTAAGTCTGGATATTGCTCCTGGGTAATAATTTGTTAGTTTGATAAAGCACCTTATTACATAATTGAAACAAACATAATTTCACAGGATTTACTGGAAAATGTAGCGATTGCTTTCATAGGCGAACCAGCAGCCAATCTGCACACAACAATGTCCCATAAACAGCCATGAAATGAATGGCCATTTGATATGCAGAAAGAACTTCTCTTTTCAAATAGTGCCATGTTTATCATCCACCTGAACACATCTTCTGACTTAAGAGGCAACAGAACAGAGTGCCACTAATACTAATGAATACAATCTGTTACCTGAGTCCCGTAGCTCAGTGGTTAGAGCACTCGC